ACAGGAACAACTCCAAGTCTTTGCTCCAGTCACAATCCTGAGTATTCACCCTTTCATGGATGCAAATGTGGGCTGGATTCATGGCACAAATGTACCACCACTCCCGAAAGCAGGAGTGTGTTGTGATTGCTGAAACCAAAGTGAACATTTCTCTGATTTCCCATGGAGACCAGAGAAAGTGGAAGTTCAGGAAACTCCCACTGCCTCAGGCATCCACAGGAGGGATCTCAACTCACCCATGCTCTGGGGAGACCACAGTCCATTACATCTCAGGTTCATCTAGAAGGTGTGCAAAATCTTTTCAGCTGTGTTTTATTAAAGCTATGCCCTTCTACTGGCTGCAGATCTCACCTAACAAATAAGTTTGAAGCAGAAAAAAGGTTTCTGTGAGCAAAGACTTGGTGGTGTAGAAAGCAGTTGATGGAATGGAAGCCAAAATTCTATTTGTTCCAAAGTCATCTCCTGAGCTTCTGAGTTTGGAAACTTTCTAGAGGAAGCAAGAGCAATAGGCCCAGCACTGGTCTCTGGAAATCTAAATGTCTCTGTAAGAAATTTTGTGGGTAGGCAATATGTATGAGAATAAGAGATTAAGCAAAATTAGCTGACTTTTTTATCCAGCACTGTTTATGTTCCTTGTTTTTTGGTGGTTTGTTTGTCTTTCAATTAAAAAAATTAAAAGCAGATCTGAGCAATGGTGGCTCATATCTATACATCCTAGCACTTTAGAATGCCCAGATATTAAGGTTTGCAGAATGCAATCAGACTTAGGCAAAAAAGTCTGTGAGAATATTTCCAATTAACCAGCAAAAAGCTGGGTTGGAGGCCTGAGTCAAGTGAAAAAGTACCAGTTATGAGGGGAAAAAAGTCACTGAGAAAGAGCTTACAACCCTCAGTTCAAGCCTGGTACAAGCAATAAATATAACTAACCTTAACATGCAACTAAATGATGTTTTGATACATAAATGTATTATAAAATAATCCCATCATTTTTCTGCTGTAATAGAGATCTCGAAATGTTTCATGCATGTGCATATATATAAGCACACATTTATATAACGTACATTGCATTATAAAAAAATAAAATTCTAAAATAGGAACGCAAACTATGACATTGGAGATTTTGGATTGCTCATCCATCACTGTGAGGAAAAAAAAAAACAGAAATTTGTAAATAGGGTTGTCAGTTGCTTTTAAACATTCCTCTGTGCCTTTCTGAGAGAAAGAGAAACAGGGAGCAAGAGACAGAAAACTTATTTAATGCGCTGTAAATATACAAATGTAGCTGGGTGCTGGAGGCTTTTACATCTGTAATCCTAGCTACTCAGGAGGCTGAGATCTGAGGATGGTATGGAAGCAATTGAAGCCAGAAAAGTTCCCATGGGAGGCTTATCTCCAATTAACCACTCAAAAGCTGGAAGTGCTGCTGTGGCTCAAAGTGGTAGAGAGCTAGCATTGATGATAAAGAGCTCAGGGACAGTGCCCAGACCCAATGCCCTACCACTGACATAATAAATAAATGCACAGTTTTTTCCTGTCTCTCTCTTTTTCTGTGTAGCAACCTTTTTAATATTTTTTATTGTAAAAATACTGTACAGAGGGGTTACAGGTACATCAGTACGATAATGAGTACATTTCTCTTGGAATTCAGGGTGGTGTCCTGGGCCGGGTCAAGTGGATTGCTCCACCTGGGGGGTGGGGGCTCTTGTCTCCTAGGGGCCAAGATCCAAATGATCTACCTGCAGACAAGCACCGGTGCTTGGCTTGACCCTTTGCTTGAATAAGACAGGACTCAATCCTTCATATTCCATCTTCAGATACATAGAAAGATTGGGAGAGGCAAGTCCTTCATATAAGGTCTTTGGATAATAAAAAAGATTGGTCTGAGAGGGAAGCAACATGGAGTTTGAGAACAAAGCAGATTCCCAGCTGAGGAAGCTTTCTTATGCTTTAAGTAATGGAGAATCCACATTTACAGCTTTATGTCCACATTTATTTATAATCCTTTGTACCAGGGACTAGAAAGGGCTTTCTTGGCAGTAGACTAATAGATTGGGCAATCACTGGTATACATAAATTATGTAAGTATGACTTAACAATGGAGTTGATTTTTTGAAAAGAGAAGAAATGGGCACACCTAATTTGCTAAGTCCCATTTATTGTTACATAAGGAATCAAAAGCCACATATGGCAAAGTCCATGAAGTGCCTATGTGCATACATAGGGCTAGGTGATTCTTATCCTCCCCAGAAAAACAATTAGGACTTCCTCAGAAAATGGAATCCCAAGTACTATCCAGTAATTTCATACACTTACAGAAGGAGTTGAGAAATGGAAGTGGCCTACTCTCTAACTCAATAGTTGGCTCCCACAGACTGGAACTTCAGTAGGAATAAGATAAATCTGGAGACGTGGGCAAGTTTAGATATCAAAAAGTGGTCTATAGTTCATTTTCTCATTTTATTTTTTTTTTGAGAAGTTTCTCTTTAAGTCTTTTTTTTATTTTTAATTCTTTATCATGAAAATACCATACATAGGGGTTACAATTACATAGTCTTAAGGTGCTAGACCATGTTATGTCAGGTAATGAGTGCATTTCTTTCTTTCAGTGTCACCCCTTCCTTCACTTTCCCTCCCATACCTGTTCTCAAGTTATACTTTCTCACTTTTTTATCTAGAATAAATAAATGACAATTAAGCTGTTACAACTTCTGAGGCAATCAATGTAGTAATTGTGGAGGGAGAGCAAAAGTTGTACTTCAGGGACTGAAACTCTACAGAGTTTCCTCCACCCTGTCAGGGAGACAAGTGTGAAAACTGAAGTGTCGGGGCTAGTTTCTGAGAGCTCTAGAGACACTGAGGGTACAAATATGACTTGGGAAGCCTCCCTTGGCAAGAAAGGACTTTGTCTTCAGTACAGCAACATGGTAAGTAGATTTAACAATTCCTTATTTTACTACAAAATAGGTGCTACAAAAATATCCCTCAGGCCAGGCACTGGTGGCTCACGCCTGTAATCCTCAGCTCTCAGGAGGCTGAGATCTTAGTATCAAGGTTCAAAGCCAGCCTGGGCAGCAAAGTCCATGAGATTCTGATCACCACCAGAAAACCGGAAGTGGCGCTGTGTCTCAAGTGGTAGAGCACTCGCGTTGAGCTGAAGAACTCAGGGACAGTGCCCAGGCCCAAAATTCAAGCCCCACAACCGACAAAAAAAAAAAAAAAAGTACCTTAGAAACTTGAATGTTAAGTTCTCAGCTTGAATTAGGGAGTTAATGAAAAGGTCTGTGAAGTTGTGAATACCATAACCTAAGAGAACCTCACATGAATTTTATGTAGCAAAGGACAACTATCTTATTTTTATTTGAGAAAATGGCCAAGTGTGGGCATTAACTTGCCTCAATTATTGAATGCTAGGTCCAAACAGGCCTGAACTCTGTCCCTTAGCTCTTCAGCTCAAGGCTAGTGTGTTACCACTTGAGCCACTGTGCCACTTCTGGTTTTCTGAGTGGTTTATTGGAGTTAAGAGTCTCATGAACTTTCCTGCCCAGGCTGACTTTGGACCACCATCCTAAGATCTCAGCCTCCTGAGCAGTTAGGATTATAGACATGAGCCACCGGCACCTGGAGTAAAGCCTATCTTTAAAACTTGTTTTCTATTGAGTTTCCCAAGAAAATATAGGCAAGCAGCCACTATGCCTTCCTCTGATATTCATTTCTCACCAAAAACAAAAAACCAAACCAACCAACTCACAAACAAAAAACCCAAGTTTCTTAATACGTATCTAAGAAGCTCATTCCAAATCTGATTCAGTTTTGGGAGTTTGGGGAAAGAACGAAAGAGCTGGAAAAATGGGACTCATTGGTAACCAAAAAGCATTAATCAAAGAGTAAAAGATATACTATAAGATATAATATTAAGATATATTGATTGCAGAAGGTTTAATGGATTAAAATCTCTGACTAAAAGTTCAGTGATTATAATCTCTAAATTCTTAAACAAAATTTAAGATTAGTAATTGATACTGTTTGCCTTTGAATCTTGTGGCGTGTTTCATAATATGCTTGATATGTAGGATGGATTATTGCTTCCCATGAGTAACTGGCATAGCATAAATTGCTTCAGTTCTCAGGGAAAGGTTTGAAAGGGAATAGCTGTTACCAAAGTTGAGTATAAATCAGGCTCTATGAAGACCATGCTGAGAGAAACCTTCAGGACAAATTAATTTTAAGCAATCCTGTAATATTTAGAAGGAAGAAGAAAGGAAAAGCTGACAAAAAGACATTCCAAAATATGCAAAAGTTCCATAGTTTAAATGCAAATAATTTATTTTATTTTATTTTGTAAAAACTATCAATTCTTTCACATAATTTCTTGGTAACAAATGAAATTAGAGCTCTTAGATATTAAAGATTAAATCCTATCCAGGCTTGAAGAAGAAAAGTGAACTTGGTCTGATGGGGAACTTGCAATTTTATAGGAAAAATGACATAGGTGAAGCAGCTTGCAAAGTTAGTTGAGATCATTGTTTCTTCTCAAGTCATGCAGCAACTGTAAAATGCCATCATGACACCCTATTTGAATACTACCATTTCAAACCGATAACATTCCCACCTGACTTAACTATATGCAGTCAATATTGGGTGTTGCTAATGCAAAACCAGCTCTCATAACAGTATACAATAACTGATCTACCTTGATAAATATCAATAAATCCAGAAATGATTCAGGCTTCTCTCAGAGGTCCTGATAGGCACAAAATGGGAACCTAAACCCCTCCTAATGACCTTCAGGCAGCAACCAACAGTTCCTCTAGGGCACTCATCCCAGCTGGAGCCAGTGATGTTATATCCCATTTGATGACCAGAGACACTATTGGCTGATTCAGTTTTAAGTGCTATATCACAGCTGAAAAGGTTACACAGCTTGACCTAATACTGAGGCCCAAAATCCACTGAATACTTATCAGCAGTTAAAACCATCAAGTCATTTGAGATACTGAAACATGAAAATGTTAAAGTATAGGCATCAAAGATAAAACTTTGAAGCAAAACATAATCCCTGAGCTGTTGTACTCACCAAAATGAAAGTAAAAGGAATAATTAACAAAAGATACTATGTAAATTTCCAAGACATTGAAAATGTTAAAGCAACCGGATTTGATCATCATCTGGGGTGGAAGAGGTGGGGGAAGTAGGTAAGACATCAGTCAAGGTCTGTGGAAATGTCTGATGGGAATATGATAGAATGAAATTTTAAAAAACAGGAAGAAATTCTAAAGGACAATCAGATTCAATTCTGTCACTGATTTGAATATGTTAAATGTGTAGTATTTAAGGAAGTAGATAGGTTTTGCTATTATGAACTCAAAACATTCGTTAGAAAGTTTAGATTTGTGAAAGCATTTGTAAAGAAGACATTTTAGATTGCACTGAGAGATTTGCACAAAGTGTCACATAGAAAAAGCCAGAGTACTATGGATAAGAGATAAACAATTGCATAATACAGGACTATTCTTTAAGGTGCAAAAATATCCTATGATTTTTTTTGCAGATTGCCTATTGTCATTGCCGATGGTTTCTTAAATATGGTGTTTGCTGGATCTAATTTCAATGCTGATAAAGTAAGATTATGTCATTGAGTTTTTTCAAGGGAACCATCTTCCTTTCTATATCTGTACTTGGCATTGTAGGGAACATCTTTATTTTTTTTAATTATATGCACATGTTTAAAGGTACCAAGAAGAAATCTATACACATTATATTCATCCACTTAGCTTTTACAAACATCATAATGCTTCTTTTAAAAGTAATACCAAAGACACTAGCAGCCTTTGGCATGGAGAACTTCTTAGAGGATATAGGCTGTATGATTTTTGTTTACCTAGAGAGAGTGACTCGAGGACTTTGCATCTGCACCAGCAGTCTCCTCACCCTGGTCCAGGCCATCACCATCAGCCCCAGAGACTCTGTGTGGAGAAAGCTAAAGCTTCAATCTGCATGGCACATCCTACCCCTGTTGCTGTTCTTTTGGATAATAAGTTCCTTGATAAGCATGAACTTACTATATCACATAAAAAATATCAGCAGTATGAACACATCACAAATTAGTAAACAGGACAACTATTGCTATTTTGTACCAGACAACTTAATGAGGTGGAGTTTTCTTGCCCTCATGGTCTTGAGGGATGCTGTGTTTCAGGGTATCATGGGTGTGGCCAGTGGCTACATGGTATTTCTTCTCCACAAGCACCACCAGCGTGTTCTCTACCTGCAGAACTCCAACTTTCTCTACAAAACATCTCCTGAGATGAAAGCTGCTCACAGTGTTCTCCTTCTCATGCTTTGTTTTCTTTTCTTTTATTGGACAGAATGTATTCTTTCTCTACCTTTCAATTCCTTCTTAGAGAATAATTCCATGATGAAAAATATTCAAGAATATTTCAGGATTGGTTATGCAATTCTCAGTCCTTTTATGCTGATTCCCAAAGATAGCAATCTCACTGGATGTTGGCATTCACATTAGGGATAGTTCCATTTCATTGATTTTATTGATTCCATAAATTTTAGTGTTTTGTTTCATTTTCTTCTGCTTGGTTTGGGAATAAAATCTGGCCCATGCTAGACTAGACGAGCCATTTTAGCATTGGTCAATGGTCTCAGCCCTTTTTTTCTTATTTTTGAGGCTGAGTCTTGAAGCTATATGTGTCTAGTCTGGCCTCACCTAGTCATCCACCTGTCTCTGCATCCTGTACAACTGGGATTCACTGTGATATGTCAGCATGCCCAGCACCAATGGTGTTTTTAAAATATAACCTAAATCTCCAGTAAACAGCCATTGTTGCTAATGTTTTAAAACATGCACACTTGTAGAAGGGAATTTTCTTGGTCCTGTGAAAGATGGAAAATTCAAATTATGTTGATATATAATAGTACACAGATTCTTCCATAATTTAAAAGCTATATGAGATTAATAGTATTTTTAAAATAGAATAATATATTTAATTTTCTGCTATTACATTATGAAACTCATCAACAATATAAAAATAGCATAAAATTGAAAGAAATTAGGTTAATGAAGTCATAATTAGAATTTAATTTCTGTCACAGATTTCCAGTTTTGTACATTCAAAGCATATGAAACAAATAAATGAAAATGAATATGAATGAAACAAAAATGATTAGTGCTTTTATATTACTCAGCGCTCAATATGTCTTTGGTGAACCACAAAACATCTGGGTTTGATTCTTTTAGGTTTAGCATTGTATTTTTGTTTTTCAAAAATAATTTTATTGTCACTTTTCATATGCTGTACAAAGGGGCTACTCCTTCATAACTAAGGTAATGAGTATATATCTTTTTAAGCAGTGTTATCCCCTCCCTCATCTTCTCCCACTTTCCCCATCTCCACCTTACCTCCAAGTTGTAAACATCATTTCCAATATAGTGAGTTCCAACAGTGAGTATCACTGTTGAATTGGTTCACCATTTGTCCCACCATTGCTATGATTTCCCTTCCCTCCCACAAATCAAATAAACTTATATGCATGACAAAGGGTACAGAAATTAAAAAACAGTCACAACAGGCAATAAACCAAAGGAAAAGAAAGAAAGGAAAAAGAAAGAAAAAACTCCTCTTGTTTCCATTTCTTGGAATTCATTTTGATTAGCATCATTTTATATGGTCATATAGACATAGCTATTAAGCCATTGTGATCCCCACCTAAGAATATCGTCCCTTGTTGTCACTGTGCAATGCTTAGAGTGCTGGTTAATTAAGCATATCCAAGTGTAATCATTTGTCTTTTACTATCCATTGGATTAACTCGTAGGTTTATGGTCATATTCAAGTTATAACAAATGAGTGAAACCATGCAGCCTATGCTCCTTTGGGTTTAGCTTACATCACAATATAATTTTTTCCAACTCCTTCCATTTCCTTACAAATGGAACAAGGTCGTTCTTTCTGATAGAAGCATAGATTCCATTCTGTATATACACAACATTTACTTGATCCATTCATCTGGGCTGATTCCATATCCTAGCTATGGTAAATAATGCTACAATGAACATGGTTATGCCACTGGCATTAGTGAGGGCTGGTTTGTGGTCACTTCAGTAAGTGCCCAGGATTGGGATTGCTGGGTCATAGGGAGGCTGTATGTTTAGACTTTGCAGGAACCTCCATACTGCTTTCCAGAGTGGTTGAACAAGTTTACATTCCCACCAGCAGTGTACTAGCATTCCCTCTGGCCACATCCCAGCCAGCATCTGTTATTAGTTTTCTTGATAATGGCCATTCTAACTAGGGAGAAGTAGAATCTCAATATTGTTTTATGGCCAGAGATGTTGACATTTCTTCATGTGTCTATTGGCCATTCTTATTTTTTCTTTGGAGAAGTCTCTCTTTAAGTCTTTAGCCCAGTTATTTGATAGGTTGTTGTTTGAGGGTTTGTTTTAGGGGTTTAATTTTTGAGCTCTAATAATATTTTAGATAGGAGGCCCTTGTCTGATGTATAGCTAATAAAGACCTCCTCCCAATCCATAAGCTTTGTATTTATCCTGATAGCTATGCTCTTTGCCAAGCAGAAACTCTTCAGTTTAATGCAATCTCATTTATACAGCAATTCTTTGATTGGTTGTGTTTCTGGATCTTTACTTAGCAAGGTTCATTCTGGGCCAAGAAGCCCTAGTGTATCCCCTATCCCTTCCTGTAGTATTGTCAGGGTGGATGGTCTTACATTAAGGTCTTTGATGCATTTGGAATTGATTCTGGTGCAGGGTGATACATGAGAATCTAACTGCAGTTTCCTACACGTGTGTAGCCAATTCTGCCAGCACCATTTGTTGAAGAGGCTGTCTTTCTTCCATCCTGTTTTTGGCTCCCTTATCAAAGATTAGACGGCTATAGATCTGTGGGTTCATTTCTGAGTCTTCCATTCTATTCCATTGACCTCAGGCCTCTGTTCAAGTGTTAGTACCAAGTTGGTTTTATAATTACACTCAGCCCTTTTTTCTATTTTTTTCTTTAAAATCTTTCATCCCCTCTCCACCCCTCTGTCTAGCCTCAGATAGCCATCCTTCTACATTTGGCCTCCCACTTAGCTGTGAGTGCACACTTGCAGCACGAAGCACAGCTTATTGAATGAGATTGGCTCTCACTAAAATTTGCATAGAATACCCTACCACAGTTCTCCAAAACCTACCTCCCAAGTAACTGGGACCATAGGTATGAACCACAGAACTTCATCAGACTGCAAAAGAATATAGCTAGAATCCAGCAGCAAGATAACTATGCAAACATATGTAAAACATATGAAACATTTTTGAATGATCAGTGAATAATTGAGGGAATCAGAAAATGGCTAGAATGAAATAGAAATGAAATCAGAAATTACTGTGATCTTTGGGGATAGCACTGGGACAATGCCAAATAGGAAAATGAATGCCTCCATTAAAAAAGTATACTTCAAGTAGATATCCCTTGATGTGCCTCATGGGCTTAGAAAAGCAAGAACAAATCAAAATCAGTAGACAGAAATACCAAAGGTCAGAGCAGAAATTCATGAAATTGTGACTAAAATACACAATAGAGTTGATTCTCTGAAAACAAAATTTCCAATCTAACCCAAAAACAAAGCAAAACAGAACATCAGCAAGAAAGAGGTGATGGAGAAAACCAACATCAATATAATTACATAATTAGAAAACAAGGGGAGATAGCACAACAAATGCCAACAAAATTCAGTGGGTGATTGGGAAATATTTAAAAAATACCTTCCAATTAAAGAGGTTCAATATAAAGGAAAATCTAAAGAAATGACTTACTTTTGAGATGGAAGTGACCTCATTAAATTGAACGAAGACATAAACTTCTTAAACAGTTCTATGAAGAACAATTAAACACTGAATTCTAAATTTCACCATGGTGAGAATCACTATTATCTAAAAAACAAACAACAAATTGCTGATGAGTATGAAGGATGAAAGGATCCCTCATAAACTATTACTGGGATTAGTGTAAACATTATGGAGATTCCTCAAAAAATTAAAAACAACTAGAGAAAATGGTGAGAGGGGTGATATCAGTCAAGATGCATTTGTATTCATAAGCTGCTTTGTTAAATGGCAATTCCTTTGTACAACTACTTAAAGATAATACAAATATTAAGCAATTTATTTTTATTCTTTTTTTGGGGGGGGCAGTCAGTCATGGGGCTTGAACTCTGGGCCTGGGCACTTTCCCTGAGCTCTTCAGCACAAGGTGAGCACTCTACCATTTGTACCCAGCACCACTTCCAGTTTTCTGGTGGTTAATTGAAGATAAGAGTCTCACAGACTGGGGGCTGGGAAGGTGGCTTAGTGGTAGAGCACTTGCCTTGCATGCCTGAGACCCTGGGATTCCTCAGCACCACATAAGCAAAAAGAAAAAAAATCCAAAAGTGGTGCTGTGGCACAAGTGGTAGAGCACTAGCCTTGAGCTGAAAAGCTGAGGGACAGCGCCCAGGCCCAGAGTTCAGGTCCCATGACTGGACCCCAACAAAAAAAAAAAAGAGTCTCACAGACTTCCCTGCCTGGGCTAGCATTGAAAAGTGGTCTTCAGATCTTAGTCTCCTGAGTAGCTAGGATTATAGCATGAGCCACCAACACTTGGCTTTAAATTTTTGGACATATACCTGAAGGAATGTAAGTCAACATCCAATCCATATGTGTTCACAACTAAGTTTATGGTAGTACTATTTACAATGAAATTAGCCTAGGTGTCCTTCAACCAATGAACGGATGAAGAAAACCTCGTTTGTTGTATATAGAATTATTAAGCCACAAAGAGGAGCATAACTATATCAGATGCTCCTTCTCTTTGGATGTGTTGAGGAAAGATCACTAAAAGGATCATTTAAAAACTTCTCCACCCAACCTAGAAAACCTATATTAAAAGACAAAGAGAAATTTATTTTTGAAAAATACCTAATTATTATGTAACAATTATCAAAGAATACGGACCAAAAGATTGCAATTATATTAAACACATGTTCTCAAGCAAAATAACTCCTCATTCTAAACTAAGAGTATTAGCTTTACTATTTGTTGCACATAGTTCATCCTAAATTTATCTAGTGATTTGGGGGACTATTCCACTTAGTTCATTGCTTTTATTTTAAAAAAAAGTAAAAGAAAAAGAAAAAAAACAGGCTAGGAAAGTGGCTCGATGGTAGATTGCTTACCTTGCATCCATGATGCCCTGGGTTCGATTCCTCAGCATCACATAAGCAGAAAAAACCAGAAGTGGCTCTGTGTTTCAAGTGGTAGAGAGCTAGCCTTAAGCTGAAGAACTGAAGAACAGCGCCCTGGCCCAGAGTTCAGGCCCCACAACTGACATAAAAAAGAAAACGAAAAAGAAAAAAAATACCATCACATCTTTTTGACAAGGATGATTTGACAATTTGAAATAAAGTACACAGTAAAGCTAAGCTCTTTCCTTCATGCAAAAACTGGGCAATTGAGCACAATCTTCCATGAGGATT